TTCGATCTCTTATTTTTTTTTATTTTCTCTGCTATATATTTCTGTTTTTCTGTTCTAATGGAGAAAATTTTCAAATTCTGAACAAGTGATTTTCGAGTTTTAGTTACAGGTGGTGAAAATTGTAAAATTTTGCAATTTCAAATTTTTTTTGGTGCTGGAATGAATCATGATTTAAAACTGTAAAATTTTGCAGTTTCAAATTTTTTTGGTGCTGGAATGAATCATGGTTTAAAACTGTAAAATTTTGCAGTTTCAAATTTTTTTGGTGCTGGAATGAATCATGGTTTAAAACTGTAAAATTTTGCAGTTTCAAATTTTTTTGGTGCTGGAATGAATCATGGTTTAAAGGTTCACCGAAAACCACCAACCATCGAAATCAACTCGTGACTTTACCCTCACCGACGGCGAAGATGATATATTTCCGACGAAGAAGATGAGTGGATCTACTCAGATCTGATACTTAGATCTATATCAGATCTGAGTAGATCTACATCAGATTTGACTAGATCTAAACAAAAAATAGTTGCCTGAGTACAATCCTCTCTCTATATTCGCCTTTCTCCTTTGATCTCTTTTTTTTTTTTTCTCTGCTATACACTTCTGTTTTTCTGTTCTAATGAAGAAAATTTTCAAATTCTGAACAAGTAATTTTCGAGTTTTAGTTACAGGCGGTGAAAACTATAAAATTTTGCAGTTTCAATTTTTTTTTAGTGCTGGAATGAATCATGGTTTAAAACTGTAAAATTTTACAGTTTCAAATTTTTTTGGTGCTGGAATGAATCATGGTATAAAACTGTAAAATTTTATAGTTTTATAACATTCTTTAGAACTGTAAAATTTTACAGTTTCATAACATGTTTTTCAGTTTGATTAATAAGGATAAATGCTTAATAGATTTTTGCTTTGAAACTGTAACATTTTACAGTTTCAAAACTTACTTTTCAGTTTGATCAATATTGGAGATTATTTGCTTGAACCTTACAAAAATTAAAAAATAGCATATATTTTTCCCATTATTGCTGTTTTTTGTCGTTTCATTTTTTTTCCATTTTAGTTTATCAATATTTAGCACGTTTTGCTATGTTTTTTTTGCTCTAATTTCTCTATTTATTCTTTTTTTTTCCTGGCAATATTCTAGACATTCCGGTGAGTCTTCAGTGGTGTTTTTAACGCCCAATGAATATTATGAACATTCCGGCGACTTTCATTAACGTTCTTAACATTCCGGTGAACTTCCGGCGAAACTTCGGCGACTTCCCGGTGATACTCCAACGACTTCCCAGCGATGTTGAACATTCTGACGAGTCTCCGGTGATCGTTTGATGGAAGTTCGATGGTAGTAAGATATAACAGTGTCTGTAATTTTTTTAAAAAAAAAAATAAGATTTTTTAGTAACAATTAAAAATGTATAGGACTAATTGGTGCATGTGTTTTGTTTGAGAATTAACTGGGTCTTGAACTTTGTACATGAGACTTATCAGTAAGTTCCCAATAAACAAAGCCCAAACCTAAAAGTCGATCCTCTGATTAACTTGATTGCGCGTATTGAACGCAATCATGCTTAGATCACAGACTGATCTCCACCAAAAAGTTGATCCTTCGATTAAGGGAGATTTGGCGATCAACGACGATGGTAAATTGACCCAGGGCCGGCCCTGAGTTTGTCGGGGCCTAAGGCGAATTTCGGAAATGGGAGCCCTTTTATATTGAAAAAAAAATTCATGAATAAAACGATAAGTTACAATTTTTTTATTTGTTTGTAACCATAAAGAAATTTACTTACACATATAATCATTAAAATTATAAATAAAACAATTTAATAAAACAAAATTAGAACAAAAAAATTAGGAAAAAATTATTCAATTAAAATTGATAAAGACCTAGGTAAAAAAATTTGAGCAAAATTATTTATTCCACTAAAATCTAATAGATAAAGAAGGTAAAAATAAAAATTAAATGGATTAAAATCAAGAACAAATTCAAGCCCAAGAAATGGATAGGAACCTACATCTTCTCTAAGTATTTCATTTTAATAAATATGGACCAAACTACACTTATAAATAAATATGGAGTAAATCATACATGGACCCAAAAAAATATTTTGGGGCCCTTTAAATTGATCCTAAAACCCTAACATCAATTCCCCAAACCTATAATATTTTACCAAATTTAGGGGCCCTATTTTTGGGCCAAATTTAGGGGCCCTATGTTATATATGTTTATATGTTTTACCAAATTTAGGGGCCCTATTGTTTTTTATTTATTTATTTATATATTTTCATTTTAATAAATATGGGCCAAACACATTTATAAATAAATATGGGCTAAATTATACATGGGCCCAATAAAACATTTGGGGCCCTTTAAATTGATCTTAAAACCAAAAAAAAAAAAAGAAAAGGTTGAACCTATAACAATTTTTTAAATTTGAGAGCCCTATTTTTAAGCTAAAATATGAGGCCTAAGGCACAAGCCTTACCTGTCTTAGGGCAGGACCGGCCCTGAATTGACCACTACCAAAGTGACCTATGACAATAGGTTGATTGTCCGATCAAGATAGATCAACGGTCAACAATGGTATATCAATTAACTATAAAAAAGGGACCAATCAAATAGGTAAGAATAATCACAGCCTTTGGGATGTGGGTTGACTTTTTGATTTTTAACTATTTAGGTTAGATTTGGTATAACACAAAGAAATTAAAAAGTCAAAAAGTCACTATCCTATTTAAGTCACATCATCTTATTTAAATCATATCACCTTTCTACGACATCACTTCAAATTCAATCCATATTTTATAAAAAGTCAAAAAGTGCATTTATTTATATTGTGCCTGTTTGGCAGAAATTATTTACAGCTTATTTCAGCTTTCAGCTTAATTTAAGTTATTTTGATGTGTTTGGTTTAGCTTATAGCTTATACCTTATAGCTTATAGCTTTGTGGAAGTCAGAAATCAGCTTATTCTTTGAGTGGGCAGGAGATTCTTTAAGAATAAGCTGGAAATCAGCTTAAGCTGAAAGTTATAAGCTATAAACTGTTCAGGCATAAGCTATAAGCACTTTCCCACAGCTCTACCAAATAGGGCTATTATTCCAAACAACCCCTCAATCCATATTTTATAAAAAGTAAAAAAGTGCATTTATTTATATTATTCCAAACAACCCCTTAGTCTGGGGCTAAAAAGTGGAATAGACTTTTTGATTTTTTTGAATTTTGTGAGAGAAAAAATAAAATAATTATGATTTGAATATGATATTTTGTCTTATTGAACTAAAAATCTGTTTTGTCTTTTTTGTGGCTAAAATAACCCCAATCCAACCCAAACCTTCATGCCAAAAATATACTAATCTCTGTGAGATAAATTCACCATCTACAATATTCAAATTTAAAATTAAAGTTAATAAAAATTTAAAAAAAAAAAATAAAATTTGAGACCCTGTTTGGGAATGGTTTAAAATAGTCAAAGTCAAAAAAAAAAAAAAAAAAAAAGAGTAAAAAACTAACAAATGTTATCGATTTATTCTGCTTTACTTTTTTATAAGTCTTTTTATAAAAATAATTTTCAACATACCATGAGGCTTCCTTTGAGAAGTTGAGTTTATAGTCACAAAAATCAAATTTTACTATGGATTTTTTTGAGAAAGTATAGGAGTAAAAAAATTAATTTTGTTACTTAGATCAAGTTTGGTAATTTAAAAATAATTTATCTTTTTATCTTTTTTCTGTCACACCACTTCTCTATTTTTCTGCATATCTTTTCGTAAAAAGACAAAAAATACATTTATTTAGATCATCTCAAATAACTCCTTATTATGAAAAGACGTATAAAAGTAAAGAATTAATGTAATTCAAATAAGTCTATATTTTTTTACACTTTTTAAAAAAGATTTATAAATGATCAAATCACTCCTTTTAATTTCTACATGTATTTTTATAAAAAAATTAAAAAATTTGATTAAAATAATTAATTTTCAAACAGGATTAAAGAATCATAATAAAGTGAGATTTGGGCCCACGCGCTATTGGTTGACGAAGGACGAGCTAATAGCGTCATCCAACGTGAAGGCCGGAGTTTACCTCGTCCCTCGAAACTTCGGCGTTCACAATTTCAATAAATGTTTTTAAAAAAAAATCCATAATCAAACATATAATTTAAAATTTAATTCAAAAATTATTTTCAAAACTTATAATTAAACATACAATTTAATTTTTTTTCCAAAACTGAAAATCAAACTCTTGTCAAAACTCTATTTTAAAAGATATGTAATAAATCATAACAAATTATTTGGTCAATAATAAAAAAATAACAAAAATTAGAAAAAATATTTTTTCAAAAAAATATAATAAAAAATAATTTTCAATGAAAAAATTTAAAAAAAAAATTGAAATTTTTTTAAAATAAAATTTTGAAAAGAGTTTTTTTTATGAGTTTTGAATTATGTGTTTAGTTATTAGTTTAAAAAATAGTTTTTGAATTGAGTTTTGATTTTTGTATTAGTTAAGATTTAAGTCTGGAGGTGTGTTTTGTGTTTAAAATATTAAAAAAATTAAAAAATTTACAAAATAAACTAAAATATTTAAAATAAAAAGATAAAAAATATTTAAATAACAATTATATATTTAAAATAAAAAATAAAATTTTTAAACATTTTAAAATATTTTAAAAATAACTTTTAAAAATTTCAGAACACAACTCAAAACTCTTTTTAAAACTATTTTTTTTTTCAAAACTCATAATTAAACAAATTTTTTTTTTTCAAAAATCATAATCATTTTATTTTTTATTTTATCATAATCTAAAATTTTTCTCTTTTATCATATTTAAATCATAATTATTTTATTTTTTTTACAAAAATTAAAAAAATTAAAAAATTCATTTCAAGCAGATTTTTTAATTACAGACTAAAATAATAATAATAATAATAATAAAAAGAATAAAAAGGCTAAAAACCAACCCAGTCAATCAATTAATTTAAGGAAAAAAAACCTTTAAACAACACTCCGTCCGTCCCAATCTTCTCATCCGTGAAATCAATTGAAAAAGAAAGGCTCAATCGACCTGAAGCTTCTCATCTAAGCAAACCCCTCTCAACCTTGGCTTTGCTCTCTCTGATCGCAAACCGGTCAACTCAAAACCCTAATTCCCCAATCCAACAAACAAGAAGAAGAAGAAGAAGAAGAAGAAGAAGATATGAAGAGAGTCTTCGGCGTCAAGAAAGACAAAGAACCCCCACCTTCCGTTTCCGACGCCTCCGATCGGGTCCCCTCTCTCTCTCTTTCTACGCATAATAATGATGGCTTCAGAGTATTTGCTTGTTTTTTGTTTTTATTAGAATTGGTTTTTTTTTTTTAAATTTTTTTTTAATATATGTTTTGGGTGTATTTGTTTGCATCTATCAAAATTTTTTGTATATGATATGTGGGGTTGTGTTTGTGTTTGAGACCAGTTGGGAGATTTATTATTATAATCATGCTCAAGACACAAAGTTGAGTTTTTTGTTAAAAATGTAGGCTTGCTTGTTCTATAGTTTTCAATTTATGTAGAATTAGGTGCAAATTGATATAATTCTTGGACACTGATGTATAAACATTGGCCAATTGCCACTGAACTACTGCTGTTACCAAGTTACTTCTTATGCTTGTTGGTGAAAGAAACATTACATTTGGTAACCTCTTGGTAAATATTGGAAAAACTAACTTTATTCTTAAGGGAAGAAGAGCGAGCTTATCATTCTTCTTCAACAACGGGGGAAAGCAGTGTTAGTTTGGGGTTAAGAGGTGTGTCCATGCGGCGACAAGGCACTGGTATGTTAGGAAATCGACTCTTCCTAACTAGGCACAAAATAGCATACAATAAAGCTAAAACAAATCGAAACAATGACACACAAAAAAACACAATTACAATTCTCTACTGAATACAAGAGGTGTCCTTCATCTATTTATAAGCATAGAAATTAGGGCAGCGTGGAAGCAATAGGACCCAACATGGTATTCATGTGTCTGGCACTCATCCTTGCAGCCATACTAAAAGCATTGCCTGACCAAAAAGTTTCGGTAACCAAAACATGAGGGTTTTATGCCTTCTAGCTGAGGAACTTAGTCGTAGAGTGAATATTTTTTTTCCCTCTTTGTTTGATCTTCTATGATTTCTCCCACATATACACACACTTGAACTATATGAATTATAAGTTCAAAGTAGTAATGCATTGACATCAATATTTATAGGTTACATCTCCGTGTAATAATTTTGTTGGGAGTGATCTTTTTGAGTCTTTTATGTCCATGTGGAAACATTGCTTATTTTATTTATTTATTTTTTCTCAACTTGTAGCTTGTAAGCAGTTTGTGGAATTGAATTGAAACAGTCCTAGGAATGGTTGTCCAGGCTATGTATATTATTACTACAAGCCATGTGGATCTCTTTCTTTATTTCTAAGAGAATGTGAGAGCAACAGGGAAAATTAAATTGCATTAGGCCTTATTATTTTTCTTTAGAGTAATGTGCCAATGTGAAACTTATTGATGAGATAAGAAGAATTACACAAGCAACAGGAAGACCAAGCACAATAGGCAAAAAAGTAGGCGTAGAGTTACTCAATAAGAGTCTAACGTAGAGGCACTGTCTTAGCTGAGATGTGTGTGTAACAATTACCCAAATCAGGTTCCAGTTAAAGAAACCATCAAGGTAGGAGGGAGGTCTGGGCCCATCTATTTTTAAATAAACGAATGTTGAAAATGAAATATGCAAGCGAATTATGGCAACCCATTTGATAGCAGTGCTCTCTTCAGTATGAGGCTATAACTTGGTTCAGTAAGCCTGCTTTTCGTTTTGTTGGATCTAACCCTTTCCCCAATGGTTTTAGACACAGGAAATATGATGCTGCCATCATTGTCTTTGAATACACTTAGTATGCCACTTTTACCTTGGGTTTGCACAGGTTCACTCATCAGTGTGTTCTATAAAGTTTCAAATTGGCGAATGAAGGGCTTGGGAGAGAGAGAGAGACAGAGAGAGAGAGACTCTTGTAAAGGAGAGAAAAATAAACTTGTAAGGGTTTATTGAAACGTCACCATTTATTGTTTTTTATTTTACCGGCCAATAAACAGATTAGGGTTCATTGTTAGATAAAGTAGGGGGTGATATTGTTATTTTTGGTAAGATGGGTAGCAAAATTTTTTAAGTCAAATACGTAACGCGAGATTTTTATCCCTTGTGAGGCGAGGCTTAAGACATTTAAATTTTTATATTTATTAAATAAATAAAACGGTGTAAATACTTTTCTCTTTAAGGCGTTAAACATGTCACTGCAGAAAGTGAAACTTGTCCTTGTTGAATGTGAAGTTGACATTCTTAGTTTTAAATATTGAGTTTCTCACTGGAGTCTTAGCTTTGTGTTATTTCTTGGTTGGTCATTTACTTGAATTTTCTTATAGAATATAGTTACAAAAGAGGCTCTTCTTCTTCTTTTTTATTTTTTATTTTTATGTTAAATCATCTACGAACTTCACTATAGGCTCCAAAGTGGATAATGGGCCTCCAGCCAATTAATGGCTGTGTGCCATCAATTGTAATCCTGTTCATTTTTTCTTCCAAATATATGTAAATTATGTTTTATTTATTCAATCCAGATCAACAAAAGAGGTGAAACAGTTGATGAGAAGATCAAAAAGCTTGATGTTGAACTTGCTAGATATAAAGAACAGATAAAGAAAACCCGCCCTGGTCCTGCCCAAGAAGCTGTCAAAGCTCGAGCCATGAGGGTTCTCAAGCAGAAGAGAATGTAAGTTATTTTCATGAGATTGCCTCTTTTCCCAATGCATGAACATCTCATGGCACTCTAACTATGTACCTTAGTCTTATAAAGTAGCACCTCTTGATACCATTTATCAGTAGTGGATTGTAGTCTGTATTTCAGATCAAATTATATCTTGGTTGGAGAAGTTTGGGAAAGTGAGTTGGTTAGGACACAACTTGCATTCAAGAGATTTGGTTTAGGTAGATCAAACAAAAGTTCAAGTTTGGTGAAACTGGGAAGAAATGTACCAATTTGTGAGGTGTCTCTTTGTCGGATCGTGGATCGAATCTCGGATTGTAAGATTCTAATTTTTGTGTAAAATGAGGTGAAAAATCATTTGTAGTGATGATTCTTGTTAAAAAATGATTAAGGGAAAAACAATAAATTTGACATAATGCTACTTCCATACTCTACATCTCTACTGACTAAAGAAATATTATATATTTCTCAACACAAATTATTCAAAAAGTCATTTGAGTAAGTTCACAAACATACATAATTGTTTTTACTGGAAAAAAAAAAAACAACAATAATATGTTTTCAGAATTCAGAGTTCCATGGCAACACCATAATGTTGAACTATCCCATTATGATCCTTCTCCCAGTCCTACTACAATTCTAAATGATTCTACTTCCATCGTACTTTGATTTTGGTATATTACTTAATTTTACACCAATTTTAATTGTTTGAGCAATCTAGGTTCTTAGGATCAATCTTTCAATCAAGGTCGTGTTTTTTGTAACCATGATTTATAGACTTTTAGGCCAAAGTACGATCACATCAAAATTGTGACTAATATTATCTTTGGGCAACATGGGTTTGTAACCATGTACCTGGTCTCCACAGTGAGGATTATGCCCTCGGTTGAGAATATGCCTTTTTAGTAACTTTTTAGGCTTTTGGCTAAAATATGATGTAAAAAAAATTAGTATGTTTGGGATGACTTTTTGATTTTTTACGAATAGATGTGCAAAAAGTAGAGAGAAAAGAGAATTTTTGGTATAGGTTGTTGGCTTTTTTTTTTTTTAGTGACTTTTTGACTTATAGGCTAAAAAGGGATGTTCCCAAACGAGGCATAAGTTTCATCTACCAATTTTTTGAAATTGATGATGCTATGTTCCATAACAGCTGTGAGAATACCACTGTTAATGTGGCTGTTAGTAATTTTGCATGTTCATTGAAGATTTTGAAAACCAGTTTTGTTCCCCTGCCGTCCGTACCTAATGAAATGATGGTGTATATAATGAGGTGTTTTCTATAGAGACATTTTGAACACGTATCACTCATATGGAGAAGATGTAACTGAATATAAGAGTCTTCGGTTTCGTGGTTTGGTCCTATTTGGTGCAACTTATTAAGGCTATTTATGGTTTATTTTATTTCATTTTTGAAATCTGTACCGGAGTTGGATACATTTTTTGCTTACAACTTTATGAGGCAAAAATAGCTTAAATAAGCTAATTATCGGCAAGTTGGGGGTGGGATACTTTTAACTTTTGTTGTTTGATTACTTTAGCTTACAAAAGGTTGCACTGAACAGGCCCGCAAGTTTTTCTAAATCTAATTTATTAGTTTACTAATCCACATAGCTAGTGTAATCTGTAATGATTATGAAAAAGTTTTAAACTGTTACATTTTAAATTGCTAAAATCAGTTAAATGGTAGGCCTATTTTACATGTATAGTATGCCTTCGTTTGGGAAGTGGGTTGGTTTTTTGGCTTTTTTGGCTATTTTAGCTTGAGGCTAAAAAGCTTGGTTTGGGAAGGGTTTTTGGCTTTTTTGACTTTTTTGTGAGAGAAAGAATGTAATGATTATGAATTGGATGTGATGTTTTGTCTTATTAGGCTAAAAAGTCTATTTTGTTTTTTGTGGCTAAAATAGCCAAAAAAGCCCCAACCAAGGCTTCCCAAACGAAGCCTATGTATTTTTATTACGAAGACACTGCATAAGGATAGCATACTGTTATTGCTGGGGCCTCTGTTTATTGAAAATTGAGTCATTATGACCCTGTTCCAATTATTGAATGAAATTGCATATTTTTTCAAATGAAATTCTATAATTCTGGGATTGTCTTACACTTAAAAGCTATCAAGTTGGCTTATTCTTTGCTTATATATATATATATATCTCCTTGATGTATACAACCCATTATGCCTATGGGCAGGTACGAAGGACAACGTGATATGCTTTACAATCAGACATTCAATCTAGACCAAGTTTCATTTGCTGCTGAGGGAATTAAGGATGCTCAGCAAACAGTATGTTCCACATAGCTCCTTGTTGTGTTTTTATTTTATTTTTTTAGATAATTACTATTGGGGTCTTTTTGAACTCATCTATGATGTTTTGGGCTTTTTCAATCAAGAAATGTTGGGCAATGGGCTATGAGGATGAATGCACAGTTAGTGGAACATTCTGCATTATAGACTATAGTTCTTGAAATGATACACATGGGCAGGCTTAGCTATGAATAAGCTAAAATTTACATGCACATCAGTGTTAACTGATTTAATGCAATTTAAATTCAGGCTTGTGAGTATTGAAAACCAGGGCTTAGTGTCCCATGAAACTTACCCATAACACGTTACGTAGCTTTTACAAATGAAATGTTTAATAGCTGTGTCCTTTTGACACCCAAATGAGCCTGATCTAATTGATCTTAATCACCTGTCTTGTATTTTAAGAGGGGCCACAACTTCAACTGTTTAGCTGTTAAATGACATTTATTGGTCTTTCTCCAATGTGGGTCAGATGATTAATCTGTCTTGACTAATAACAATGCTGCACCTTTCATGTGAGATTCACTGTGCTAGATCTAGTATGGTTGTTATGGGCCCACACCATATTCATCATAAGATAATTGTTTTTCTTCGTAGCGCCCCAAGGGGCATGGTTCAAAGCATTTCAAGCGGAGCTTATTCTGTACCCTGATTGGAACCTGCTTGCCTACCTCATGAGAGGTAGGGGAATAGTTATTTGTTACTTTTGGGGGGGGGGGGGCTCTGGAGTCACTTTTTAGTGAATCAGATGCAATTAGTTATGACCTAAGAAGCACGGACACTTCTAAGAAGGTGACGTATCTGTGTCGGGCACCGACACTCTTTGGACACTCTTAGGACACGTGTCCGACACTCTTCAAAATGTGTCCTAATTTTGAAATTTTTTTAAACAGCCGAACACTCTTTGGATACTTGGAAGACAAACATGTCAATCACATAAACACACGTGTCTATCGATTGGATACATGTGAAACTAATTATAAGTTTAAACAAAATAACTTAAGATACGATAATAAAACAAAAATCATATAAATTTATAGGAATTAGTGTCATATTGCCTTTTTTATTATCTTTGAATGATATATTAATATGTATAACATATAATAAATATATAAAATTACATATTTAACGCGTGTCCCCTATGTGTCGTGTCCTTCATTTTTTGAAAATTAACGTGTCAGCGTGTCCGTGTCGTGTCACGTGTCCGTGTCCATGCTTCTTAGGTTATGACTTAATTTGCCACAACTAATCTTGTTGTATTCTTCTTTGCAGATGTCAGCTTTGAAATCAGCAAACAAAGAGTTGAAAGGAATGATGAAGACCGTGAAGATTCAAGACATAGATGTTTGTATATGATTTTCTAGTATAATTCCTCCTTTTCCATTGTGCTGTAATTGGATATTTCTAATACTGGATGCTTGATTGTGCTTTTATTCACAGAACTTGCAAGATGAGATGATGGACCTGATGGATGTGAGCTCTGAAATTCAAGAGTCTCTTGGTAGAAGTTACAGTGTACCTGATGACATTGATGAGGAAGACCTCATGGGTGGTAAGCTCATATGTTGTTACATAAACTTCTATGTGGAAGAGGAAACGTGTTACATGGATCGTTACCAGAAATGAATGTAACACCTTTGGTTGTCCTTCCTGCTTTCATGCTTTTCATGGGGGGCAAACGATGTTCTTGAATTTGTATATATTTTTCTTTGAACAAAAATGGAACTATCATTTCGTAAACAAAAGCAACTACAAAAGTTTGTGTACGTTTAGCTTAGCACACCAGTGGGATTGTGAACCCTAGAATTTCATTCTAAACATCCGACTTATATACATGGAAGGAAGGCTAATTTATCTCATCCAAGTTTTCCTTCATACCCACGAGGGCTAGCTCAAGTGGTAAGTCCCCAGGTAAACAACCAGGAGGTCTTAGGTTTGGGTCCCTACTTCGCTTGATATGTGAGGTTAGTGAGTGGTCGCGCATATCCAGGGTTTTACCATGGGTGTCACTGAAGGTGGGGTCACGGGAATCCTCATTATCAAAAAGTTTTCCTCCTTACCCTGGTTGTTTAGCACAAGTCTCTGCAACTAAATTGCTTTCCTACTAGAAAACTTAATTTAGATATATTATTAGGGAAATTCTATAATACACATCTAAAGGTGTGTACCATATGCCCCAGTTATGATATTTGTGGTCTTTGGTTATGACCCATTGTGGTGTTGGTTATGACTTAATAATGTTATTAGTTATGACTTAGTTATGACCTCTTGTAGTTGTTATTTTGGTTATGACACGTTATGGTGATGGTTATGAATGGCATATTGTGGTTGTAATTTTGGTTATGACTAAAAAGGTATGTGGTTGTGCCTCAAAGGTGTTTGGTTATAATCCATTAAGTTATGACAGAAAGTGATTTGGTTACGACACTTTGTGGTATCAACACGACAAAGTGTCATAACTTGCATATAGTACAACCCTTTTTTAGGGGTGTGTATGGTAGCATTACCCTACATTATTATGTTTATTCATCCTCTTTGATGTTGTGGTGCAGAGCTTGATGCTTTGGAAGCTGACATGGGCATGGAGACTGAAAGTGATGGGGTGCCTGCGTATCTTCAACCTGATAAGGAAGATTTAGATGGGGAACTCAACTTGCCTTCCGCACCAACAGGGCATGCCGTACCGGCTGGCAGAGTCAACACCCAGGTAAATTTTCATCAATTTCATTTGAGGGATCTCTTTTCTTGCATTGCTATGAGTGCATGGAATGGAAAGCATATTTCATTACAGAATAGCCTGCTGTTTTTCTTCAAACTTGTGACGTTATATTCTGTTGCTGAAACCGAGCTTTTTGGTGCTGTCATGCATTTTTATTCTATCCATTTATTTTTTTTCACCTCAAGAGGATGATATATATATAGTATAATATATTTGAAGATAGGATGACATGTGTTTTTCCATTTGTGCTGTTAAGTCGTCTATTTATTGTGTTCGAATGTGTGTTCATATCTCTGATGCTCGACAGGCTGAGGATGAATTGGGTTTACCTGCTGTTCCCCAGGCAACTATTCGTGGTTAGATGGAGTTGACCAAGTGGAGTGTAATTTGCTGTCTTCTGTGTCTATTCAATGTTACGAGGGATTGGGTTGGGATGAGCCATTGTGAACATATTGTGTAGAATTTGATTTCAATTGCTCTTGTTCTAACATACGCTGGAGGTTTGAAAATTCGTTTGAAATTATTTGGGATATATATTTCATGGTAAGTACCATTGTGGATCTTGTATGATTAAAGAAGACAAGGAGCATTTTGTTAATTGTTACATGTAGAAATCTGCAAATTGAACACTCTGCTAATACATCTATTATGCTATTCAATTTCATCTTTCGTATGTTTGTGTGTAGAGATTTTGTTGAAATTGTGAGTTTTATCAGCTGTGAGCTATTGCAGCCTAGAGCTTGTTGCAGTCCTTGCTGAAATTGCACCAGATCTGGTTAATTTTTGTCCTTGAGCCTGAGATGTTAGTTTATTTTGTTGTTTAGGCTCCATTTGTGTCAGCAAAAAAAGGTTTTTAAAAAGCATGTTTTCTATGTTTGGTTGCGACTTTGACATTAATGTCCTATGGTTGTAGCTTATATTAGTGGGTGTGGTGGTGGTAGCATAGCAGCGGGTATTGTTGGGATGGTAGCATTAGTAAATCTTTAGTTTGAGAAATATTTTACACCTTTCAAATATTAGAAATTACCAAACATATTTTTTTAGAGATTAGTAGAATTCATCCTTTTTAAAATACACTTCTATCAAACATTTTATGATTTTTCTTCTTGGCAAAGAAAAGCAGGATGTGTGCCGGCTTTTTGTTTATGAGTGTAACAAACATGTATGATGTTTTTATTTTTTTGTGAATAGGAAACAAAAAATTAACAACAGCATCACCCTACAGTACATTGGTATTGTTCTTGTGCATGTTGTGGTGGAATTGCTTGGACCTTTTGTTTTTTTGGTTTGAATGGACTTGGACTCATTTGTGATGCAACTACCAGTAACCAACTTGCATTAGGTATTATGTTCAAAATCATCAAAACACTTCTCAAAGTCGAGACTCAGACCTAACATTACTGGGTTATCTAAGATTATTTTTACTGAGGCAAGGCCTTTCAAAACAGTGCATGTTTCGGAAAAAGAACAAAAATGAAAAGCCATTTCCACTTGGCAGAATGTAAGTTCCTAGAACATAAAACACAAGCAAGTGTGCAGTTAAGCAAAAGTGGCCACGACGATCAAAGTTGAAGCATCTTCAATAGATTTCTTTTAAAGAACAGTGCTCTCCAGAGCAAAGATGGGTTCAATTTCTTCAGTTAAGATCGAGTTTTCCCATGTCTAACATCTGCCACAAAGCATCTAAGCTACCGCCGTCTGAGGTGGAACTGGATCTGAATTTTGTACCAACACTGCTGTTGGAGGAATAAGCTAAGCACAATTTTAACCTCTCTACTTCTTTTCTTAGAGATTGATAGTGCCCTGTAGAAATAATTGTTGACAATAATTACAAGAAAATGAAACATATCATAACATTGGTAATGATCAAATTTATATAGATTTATAAACAAAAATTAAGTATTCAAGAGTTACAATTTTATTAATGATTTACTACTTGTTTTCCATCTACTTAGTACCCTCTTTTGAGAACCTTTGGAACAAAAAACTTGTGGATTTAATTTTTTAACTTTGACAGAAATCATACAGTGAATGGAGTTACTTCGTTGGCCTTGTAAAAAACTTCTATGGCCAAATTTGGAATTCCATTAAATTTTCCAAAAATAAAAAACAGTAGAGATAAACAACTCACCATCTACAATCAATTTTTCCTGTTGAAGGCTTGAAGTCTAGCAACCTGCTGCTTTAATTCGCTGTTCTCCATTGATAAAGCAACGCGTTGCTGAAGCAAAGAAGCAACTCTTACCGCCAATTCCGACTCCAAAGTCTACACAATGAGAACACATTTGCGTTAGAAGAACACCAAAAATAGTAGCAGATTGAGCAAAATGATAAAACTGAACAACAAACCAGTACCAAATCTTTCGAAGTTTTGTGTCTTGACCCCATATCAAGAGAATTTTCTTAGGAACAAAGATTGAAACCCCTTCATTTTACTCAAAACAACATGACAAATTACATGTCAAATTTTGATTTGTCACAAATAAGCATGTAAGGCCCAACTTGCTTGCCATGTCATTATGAGTGAATTGTGGGTCTCTAGTATTGCTCAGGGACATATATACCAAAGAACTATAATAACAATTAAATCAGAGGCCTGATTCTTTTTTACTGAAAACATCTTAATACTTCTAATGAACTGTTCTTATTCCAATAAAATATCAAGAAGCATGTTCCTCCATTGCATTTTCTGTTGCAAGGGGCCAGATTAAGATAGAAATTAAAATATGTAACAAGTAATATAGGAGAATAGGATTGTGTTCCCTTTCTCATTACCTGCAAATTATCAACAGTTCTTTCCAGCTCAGCAATGTATTGGAGTTTACGAACCCTTGAGCGCTGCCCAGAATGCCTGCAAAGAAACCATTATTACCACCTATTTTAACATAGATTTGGGTTTGACAATCTTTTAATGTACATCAAAACGGAGAACATCAAAAAATCTAAAACAAGAAATGGATGGCAACTACGAAACGTGGATAACGACACAGAACATGGATATGACACCATATAAACATACCATCATGATGATTTCAAAAAAATCATGACACGACACAAAGATCAAGATACAAACACAGCCTAAGTGTTTGAAACATGCCTGTTCCAAATAATAATAATAATAATAACAATAATTGGAAATATTTGGAAAAATGCCTAAAATTTATCCTAGAGTGTTTGATAGAAGTGTTTGCTTATGAGGATAGTGTTGGATATAGAAATTAGAGTACAGAGAATCTTTTTATTTTTAGTATTATGTATATAATCTCTGATTGTGTCAATTACTGATAAAAATCATGACACGACACAAAGATCAAGATACAAACACAGCCTAAGTGTTTGAAACATGCCTGTTCCAAATAATAATAATAATAATAACAATAATTGGAAATATTTGGAAAAATGCCTAAAATTTATCCTAGAGTGTTTGATAGAAGTGTTTGCTTATGAGGATAGTGTTGAATATAGAAATTAGAGTACAGAGAATCTTTTTATTTTTAGTATTATGTATATAATCTTTGATTGTGTCAATTACTGATTTAGTATTGTTTCCTTATTTATATCGTTTCCTAAATTGTATCATGAATCTATTATAGATACATGGTTTTTACCACATTCATGAAAAAGCCAAATAATTCTTTTCATTACTTTTAGTATTAGAGCTAGGTTAATTATCTAGTAATTTTGCTTCACCGGCGAATGGCGCCTTTACCGATTCCACTGCTATATTTTCATTCAGTATCACTTCGTGGCGATCTCTTCCTCTATCCACTAATTTATTCCTATCTCAAATATCTCTATCATATTTTTTTTTTACTCGCAATCCATTTATTTGGACTAGCCGTTGAGTTTTTTCTGGCTCTGATGTATTAAGCACTTTTTGGCTTTTTTTATTTAGTGGGCTACTAGATTTGTTCGGTAGCATTTATTTAGACTAGCCATTGATTTTTTTTTTCGGGCTTTGGTGCTGATGTATTAAACACTTTTTGGCCTTTTTTATTTAGTGGACTACCAGATTTGTTTGTTAGCATTTATTTGGATTAGCTGTTGATTTTTTTCCGATTTCTTCCAGTCATCCGTTGGCAAGCTGTGATTGTTGAATATCTTCACACCAGGTTGAGAGGAGTGTTGAATATAGAAATTAGAGTACATAAAATCTTTTTATTTTAGTATAATGTATATATTCTGTAATTGTGTAAATCATTGATTTAGTATTGTTTCCTTATTTATATCGTTTCCTAAATTGTATCATGAATCTATTATATATACATGACCTCCACTTCATTCATGAAAAAGCCAAATAATTCTTTTAATTCTTTTGCACTATAGAGGGGGTTAGAAATGGATTTACGTAGCCTTTTAGACATGAACTCAAACATTTGTTTTTCAATCTCCGACACAAGGCAAGGCAAGCATAAAATACTTTCCCACCTGAAATATTGTGATGTTTTGATTCTATATATATTTGCAATGTTTTAATTCTGTATAGGTAAGGTTCGAATAGAAAATGTTTCCAGAACCATTATTGAAAATTTTATTTGGTAGGTATATTTAGTTCCCACAACACCAAAAACGAATCTCTTACATTCATTGAATGTACATGAACACCTCAATAGGAAGGGATCTAAATGGTGCAGAAGTTTCATCAATAAGAGACGAAGGTTCAATTGCATTTAACAGAAAGCCCCTCAAGGCCTCATATTCTTTTATATTATCCAGGTATGCTAGTAAAATCTATGAAACAAATTTTCTATTGACAGCAAAATCAAAGCCATAAGTTCTTGTTACAGAGAAGATGATGACTCAAGTACATCAATAACAAATAATGCCAAAGTTGCAAAGCTCATGCTGATGATCTAGAACAAAACATAATAAAGATATTAGCATGTGCTTTGCAGAAAAAATTAAGTGACAGGAAGCCAAGAATGTTATGGGAAGTAATCACAGTGTAGAACTTTCAAATCCCATGCAAAGAATCATTTGCTAATTCTTTGTTGCTTAAGGAGCACAAATGTCTCTCAAGAGTAGGGTGAAGACAAGGCAGGGAGCTGAATTTTTTTTTTCTGAAGTTAGGAAATATAGCAATGAATAGAATCGATTGGTTATTATTCTTCATTTTTTGGGGGGGCTGGATATATGTCAAATAATCATGATTCTTTCAAAACTGTAGCCTGTAACATAAATGCCAACTCATTAAGTGAATTGAAAAACTGATACTCTCCACGATTTGGCTGAGCAAAGGACACACTCATTTAAGTAGATAAAGAACAATGTCAACGTTCAACATTTCTCTTGTAAGAGGATGCCTTATCCTCTTTTTTCTTGGCCTTGAGCCTTAATAAATCTTTGTTTGTCGCTGATCAAAAAAAAAAAAAAAAAAAAAAAAAAAAAAAACGTTCAACAAGAATAGGTTAGCTATACGTATGTGCATGTCAATTAGAATGGACACCACTTCTAAGTGCTTTTCTCTTTTCTTGATAGAACATTGTCAAAGGACCTCTCATTCAACCTCGTACGACAAAGACCAAGAGGGCAGGTGCTGATTGCTTTCACATTGCATTTATCTTAATAACTCACTAAACTGTGTGAAGAATTAGTCCCATGGACAGCTATCGAAGCAGGCATGGTTTAGACCACAATGACATAGCATTTGAAGTAGCAAATGTACAATTTAAATTGACAACCCTAACATTCTTTCTCAATATTTCCAATATGTCAACAAATCATAGCAACCAAATGCAGACTTAAATCATAGCAACCAAACATTAAGAACACAATTGATTGAGAAACATCCCACTTAAACATGTTTCAGGACGGCAGGAAAAAATCCTACAGCTTGGAAACTAGACATTTCACATGTTAAATGTTATTTTGAAGAACCAAGTCTATGAGAACACAGCACCCAATTCAGACTTAAATTACAATATAACAAGAACATATATTAATGGCAAACATAATAGTAGAGCCAATATGCCAAAGACTACATGTGAATCCAGAATCTAACCGTTTCATTGCCTTTGTCTCATTATTGGCGTCCCAAGCTGATCCACCTACATCTCGTGCCAAATCACATTGCATCATTCCGGAAACATTAAGATCCCCATCTGTATACTGCATAGGGTTTTGAGGAAGATATTCTGATAATGCTGAAACCACGGCATTCTCCGGAAAAGTTACTTTGTCCTTTCTCCGAGGGGAATTAGGACCATACATACAAGCTGACTCCAAGACACGACCGGTCTCGCTCGAACTTAAATTTTCTTCATTACTAAGTGGAGGCAAAGTTGGTAATGAAACAAGGCCATCTAAAAGGGTCACAGAATCACTAGTGGATCGACGATGGAGTATCCCTTTTGAATTTGCATCCAAATCACTCAGCAGGTCATCGAGCCATGCCGGTTGCTCCTCTAAAATGGAGCTTTGTGATATAGATTTTTGGTGTCGAGGGTAAGAATCATGAATTGGGCGAGTTGCAGTTCCTTTTTGAAATGGGCAGCGGGGTGGAAGGTGAGCTTGCCTTGACATGGTTGACTAAACTACCCGGTAAGCATTAGGGCCTCTTACGAATATTGATAATTTATCTCCTGTTAGCCTCTTCCATGGCAAAACAAATCACAGCAGGGTATTTCTTTGGAACCTTTATCCCATGTTTTTGCCATCATCCTAACCTACCTCATTGATTTAAAAACTTCACAACACAAAGGTGAAAAAAAGTTAAAAACCAATAGAACCAAAATAAAAGGAAAACAAAAATTTAATTGTACTTTTATTTTTTTATTTTTGATAAATCCAGAAAAGTAGTGTTTTACTTGACATAAATAAAAACCCAACAACAATTCCTTCTAGTTGTAATTTAAAATTAGCTGCAGAAAAACTCAGAAATGGTTTCATAAAAGGAAAGCTTTTGTTTTTGGTTTAAATTTTGAAATTTTACTGCCTCAAAACAGATTAGAAGTGTTGTCTATCTCTACAACTTACAAAAGAGGTATAACAGAGTTTGTGCTGAAAGTTCATATTTTCACACACAGCTACTAACAAATTCATTTTCCCAGAAATGGTAACAGGGCACTCGAAATAGTAAAAAGAACCAATCTCAAAATACTAACTGATGATTTTGAGTTAATTTAAAGAAAAAGAGCTACAATCAACATTTCAAGTACAGATATAAAAAAATAAAGATTTATCCAATGCAACAGTTCCACTCGATAGAGTAAGTATAACAGACAAAATGTAAAGGAAAACAAAAATATGAAAATACATAAAGCATTCACTCTGCTTGGTTGCCGAGAAACCAAAGGAAAAGGAAAGAAAAAGAAAAGAGGGGAAATGGACAACCCACATTACCCATTCTTTTTCAGTTACCAAAACCCAAACAAAACATCAACTCATCATTACCAAATAAATAAATAAATAACCAACCAAATACTAATCAAATATATTTTTTTTCTTTCTTACATTTTCTTCATCTCTTAATGGCATTTCAATATCCCAGAATCATTTTCCGTTTTCTTTATTTATTTTTTTCTCGGCAACCAAACACAGCATTAGGGAAAGGAAATCAAAGTAATGGGTAAAGATTAACAAAACGAAACAGAAAGAAAGAAAATAAATACTAAATAAAAATGTAATACAACATATGGGTTCACGGTTATGCTCTCAAATTTGTTGAGAAACTTTGAATTACCTTGTTGTTTTTCTCATTTTCTTCAGATAGAAAGAGAAGAAGAAGAAGAAGAAGAAGAAGGAGGAGGAGGAGGAATGAATGAATGGTGGGTAAAACGTGCGTAGCTCAAATGCTTGGAATACATACATGTACGAGCACTGTAGAGTGGTGCACGGTGATTCCATTGGTGGTGGGGTGAGCAGCGTACGGACCACAGTTGAGTTGTGCACAGCTCAGCTCGACCTCAGCAGCTCTTCACTTTTTTTTAGAGTTTTTCTTTGGGGACTGTTTGGGCTGAATAGGTAAAGGATAAAGACTGGTAGCTCGAAAATCGTGGCTCAAAATCGGCTTGAATTGTAAAATGACGTCGTTTTGCAATTCGATTTTTTTTTTTTTTCTTTCTTCCTTTTCTTCTTCTTCTTCTTCTTATTCTTCTTCGTTGAAACCAGAAGAAGAACAGAGGGGAAGAGGAGAGAGGGAGCCTCCGCCGCCTCCGCCCGCCGTCCTCGTCGCAGCTCACAACTCGTTCGTCGCCTCTGTTCGCCGTCGCAGCTCGCAGCTCGTCGGCTCCGCCCGATCGTGCCTTCGCCCCCCTCCTCCGCCTCCAGCCCTAATAATTGGGCCCTCAGTGATGCAAAAACTATTCATTTATAATTTTAAAGTTATATTTGAAGATAGTTTGATGATTGAGAAAAATTAATTAACAATTTTAAACAGGTTGATAAAAGAAAAAAATTATTTTAATAGTTATTAAATGTGACAATTACTGAGTGAGAATGGCATTGGTGAAAACAAAAATGTTAAAACTGAGTGAGAATGGTATTGGTGAAAACAAAAATGTAGCAACGTTAACAGCAACTTAGCTGCGCGTTATATAAACAGTTAATTTTGTAGTCTCATAAATGTAAAAATCATCTATTCAAAAAAATTATATTGACCGAATATTTTTTGTATTCACTCCATTAAATAACACTTATTTTCAAAAATATTAACGACAAATAAATATGATTAAATTAAGTGGGTTATAATTATTAGATCAATATAAATTTTTTTTAAAATTATAAAATTAACAATATAAATTATTAAAATATAACTCGTGATAGATCTACAAAGCTTCGAACTCAACATAAGCTGAGTTCTTAAAGTAAACGAGAACCAGAATTTAGAAAAACATACATACTCATCAGCTATTCACATAATTGAATCTAAAAGTGAGCATTTATATAATTTTTCTTATATCTGTGAAGAAAAAAAAAA